GCCAACTCTCAGCATGAGTCTAGCTACCCATTCGCTAAGCATCGTCGTACAAACTCAGATTTCGTGCAAGCATCAGAGCGCCGATTGGACCCGTCGAGATGGACAGGTAGGTCCAATCTTCAAGCGAGAGATAATCAGCCCAGCCTACGAACACAAGGGCGTCAGAAGCGTTGCCCTAGGTGCAACAACGTTTCTCATCGAAACGTGCGATAAATGTGGAAAACGAGGACATTTCGCAGTTGCATGCCGAACAGGACGGTGCGTGCAGCAAATTGTGAAGCACTCTGATATTGAATCCTCCGGTGACGAAAATCCCATTGAGCTTGAGCTTGAGCTTGATTGACCGCCCACGGTTGCTACTCTGTTACTGCCAGATCAGCTGTAATTACACAGAGAACCAATAGACGATGCTTGGGACTAGCAATCATCCTCAATGTGTAAAAACTGGTGATCTTAAATTAGGCAATACCAGCGCCGGCCGCGCCCGAACACAGGTCAAGAAAGGAATGGGAAGGATTGTGTTGACATGACACTCGCTTTGATGGAAGCCGAGAACACCTCTGCACTTCCACGAGGAATCACTGGGATGTTGGATAAGAGGGGTGGGTTTGCAGCAGGGTTCGTTTTGGTAAACGATAAGCTGAATTGCTGTCCTAACGATCATATAACGCGAAGGAGCTTGGGACTAAACCCACGGTCTTCTGCTCAGTAAGCAAAAACGTTTGCCACTAGGCAGACGAGCACCTTTTTAATCACCGAGTTGCTGTTATTACCATGTAGTCACATTAACAAATAAAACGATTGACGAATCTTGAATGTGGATGGGCCTGAGATTGGACTCATGATGTTCTGCTCAGTAAGCAAAAACGGTTGCTCTAAGGCCACCGAGCCCCTCATATCACATAATACCGTTGCTCAAATTTGTGTATCCATTCAAACCCGGAACCAACGACAACAACGTGTTTCGCAAAAAAAAACGATACACAAGCGATTTTATCATAAATCTCTTTGATATGTAAGGACCTGGGACAGCGTTTTTCTGCTCAGTAAGCAGGCCACTGTAACCGACGATCTTTAAAATCCGAAAACTAAAAACTACGAAAAAGTACTTAGGCCTTCATTAAGTTCCACTTTCACGCGACGTTCAATGACAGAGTCCTATCCAGGATTACATCTGAAAAATCCAAATCTGGCCAACGCCCACCTAAACCTGTTCTAATCCACCTGAAATGACTAACGAATGGAAGACTTTGACTACCCAGCCATGCAATAGTCTCATTCCGTGCCTTATGGCAACTTGATGATTCTACTGCGCTCATCTTTTGGCACCACCCAGGGGAGACTTGGTCCTGTACCCAATGCTTAACTTATCTCCATTCCACTCAGCTACTCGCAATTTCTTGTGATATAGTGGGCGGAATATTATTATATGAGACAATTCAATGCAGACGCCTTTCCAAATTTGGCAGATCGACAGGTAATCGGTGAGTTACCACGATAGTTGCTATTCAACAACTCGACAACGTCCCATCGTCAACGCCTGCTATGAGAATTTCCCATTGCAGACGCCAACGAAATGACGTCATCGAGCTATCGATCAACTACCCTGGTTATCGCCTGGTACCTTATAGCACGATGCTAGGAGGCGAACCGGAAGAATCGATGAGCTACCTCTCCCCCATCCTCCGGTGACGAAAATCCCACGAAGAACAGGTAAAGTAGGGGTGAATCGATTAGCTTGGGACCGAAGAGAGTACCAGAGCTGAGCCAAAAAGTTGAGCACGTTTCTTCGGGACCTACTAGTCTTAGAGTTACCTCTACGCTACAACCGTAAAAGCGATCGTGAAAAAAAGCCCCCAGCGTATCTAGACCAGTTCGTCAGGCGCATAAAACAATAAGCGACAATGTAACCAACCAATCAAGGTACAGCAATAAAATAAAATAATGAGGACGCACTAAAACGTTTCTTAAAGGAATGAAAAGGAAAACCAAGTAAAATTCTTTTTTTTTTGTGAGGAGAGAGGGACATGTGTGACATATATTAGCGCTAGTGTAAGCAGGTCTTAACTTGACGCTTAACGAGTTAGCAAGCTATGTGCTGTAAGCGCAAGCCGGTAAACGGAGGTTTCCATGGCAACGCTTCATAAACACATACGGGCAACTCTCCACTCACTTTCGGACCAGCTCTTAACAAGGTAAGTCGCACAATATTCAACAACTTTTTTTTCTGTGTGGCGGGGTCTACGATTTTGTGACAAGCAATGAATTAGGTATAGGAAAACCGTCACGATAGGGGGGGTGGGGAGGGGGAAATTTCTCCTCGATTTAGCGTGACATAATTTATGCATGGGCCCCTTTCGGCATACAGGGCGGCAGATGCGTCGGATTCCATTTCAATTTTTCAAAAAGCCACCAGCCAATAAACGATTCCTCTAAAAGTTGAGCATTCTTCTAATTTAACATTACCACAGAGAACAGACATAGAAACTTGAACAAAATATATCTAAAAACTAGTGTAAAGATTCCTATTCGACTTAGGCGTCACTAACGGCAACTTCCCCACTTAAAAACCCTCTTTGACAACCTGATAGCGCTGGCGTTGCACAATTTACACTAGACACTAAGTGCTGGTAACGCCGAGGGGCACGCAATACAAAGAACCGGTGTATTAAAGTTAAAATGCAATCCAAAGTACTTAATGTAATTAATACGTTTTGAAGTAGTACTGACTTTAATTAAAATTATCTATCCGTAATTAATGTAATTAAAAGTATTGAAAATGTTATTATTGTACTTTAATTACGAAATTTCAACTGTAATTAATGGAGTTAAATTGCAGTTAATGTTCTGCCGTTCTACATTGTGTAATTGATGTAATTAAAGCAGTTGTTAAGTTAATGGAATTAATTTAATTACAGCCGTTGCCTGCGTTAGGGTTAGAGGTTACTGCGTGCCCCTAGGGTAACCCCAAGTGGCGATTTTCAACAGAAAATTTGTCGATACTAGCGCCAAATTGGTCGAAAGAGGAAAATTTATAGAGGAAATCAGGAGATGCTAGGGCCACGTAGCGACGATATTCCCACTTATCTTTACACAAGTTTTTGGTGGAAGTTGGACGTCTGTTCTCTGTGGCGCTGATGTCGTTTGGTGTCTAGTAACCAACCACAGCGCCATCATGTTGTCAACGTTTTCAAAGCGAGTTTTAATTCTAGATGCAGCCGATGCCGCTAGAAAAAGATACGGCGATTTGTTTTTGTTTATATGAAAAATAAATGTGAAATACTGGTTTTAATGTAAAAATTGACACTGGTACATTATTTTTTTTTCAACATTATGCCAATAGAAAGGTGGGTGGCGCCATGGGTCTGTTCATAAACTACGTAGACATTTTTTTGGGATTCTTGACCCCCCCCTCCCCCTGCGTAGACAATTGTCCATACAAAAATTTTAAAATTTGTATGGGCTTTGGATAATTCTCAACCCCCCCCCCCCTAAACTGTCTACGTAGTTTATGAACAGCCCCCATGATGTTAGTAAATTAAAACTGACAGCATTCAGTAATTCGTTATCATTAATTACTGTTCAAAACAAAACAAAAACTTGAATAACTTTTATACCGAAGGAGAGGGATTACACATATCCTGACAGTTGGTGAAAGGGCATTTGGATTCAAAGCTGCTGCACGGGTTAGTTGAACATTTATTAGCTGCGTCGTGAGTGATTTGCCCATAATGAATATCGGCAATGCCATCATAGAAGATATTTCTAGTATAAGAGAGGAGCGGATTCAAAACAAACTGCCTTGGCAACCTATGCCTAGGTGATTTCTAGCAAAACTGCCAATACAATCAAGATAGGCGCTGCTCGATTGGCTCTGGCTTTGACAGTTCGTTTGGCTCAAAACCAACCAGTCCGCTCGTCTCTTATACTAGACCCTCTCAAGAGCAACCGTAACGGTACGCTGCTAAACTCATTTTAGCAGCCCTCATCATAGCGCAGCTACCGTATCGAGGGTTGCCATACGAGTAATTAAAATAGCATTCGGCTTCTCGGTGAGAAGCTCGTTACCAAATTTAGAGCAACCGTAACGGTCGTTGTCATTTGCGTGACTATTTTAACAGCGCACAGCGGTCTCCTTTTAGTTTAGTCACTCTTCTCCACACCGGTCGCTGCTATCGCGGTTATCAATTTACTCGCCGTAGTTCGTACTGGTAGTGAGCATTTTGACATTTCTACGAATAGCAACCTTTCTACCGCGCTGCTAAATTTGGTAACGCGCTTCTCACTGAGAAGCCGACTGCTATTTTAGTTACTCGTATGGCAACCCCCGATACGGTAGCTGCGCTATGATGAGGGCTGCTAAAATGAGTTTAGCAGCGTACCGTTACGGTTGCTATTAGAGCAACCGTAACGGTCGTTGTCATTTGCGCGACTATTTTAACAGCGCACAGCGCTCTCATTTTAGTTTAGTCACTCTTCTCCACACCGGTCGCTGCTATCGCGGTTATCAATTTACTCGCCGTAGTCCGTACCGGTAGTGAGCATTTTGACATGTCTACGAATAGCAACCTTTCTCTCGCGCTGCTATCGCGCTGCTAAATTTGGTAACGCGCTTCTCACTGAGAAGCCGACTGCTATTTTAGTTACTCGTATGGCAACCCCCGATACGGTAGCTGCGCTATGATGAGGGCTGCTAAAATGAGTTTAGCAGCGTACCGTTACGGTTGCTATTAGCAGCGCGGGAGAAAGGTTGCTATTCGTAGAATTGTCAAAATGCTCACTACCGATACGGACTATGGTGAGTAAATTGATAACCGCGATAGCAGCGACCGGTGTGGAGAAGAGTGACTAAACTAAAATGAGACCGCTGTGCGCTGTTAAAATAGTCGCGCAAATGACAACGACCGTTACGGTTGCTCTAATATTTCCTACAACCGTGTTCAAAGATCATTCCCGGATGTTCTCTAAATTTCTACCGCAGTAAACCGCATCGCAGCCCGTAAATCCTAAATAAATTTATTTATCAATATCGGCATTATGAATTGTACAAAATCATTCCATCTCGTTAATCTGCGTAAGGGTGAATGTGTGGATGTATTTTTGTAAAAAAATAACAAATCAACGTCACACACTTTAGCATAATTATTTCCTCCATGCATGATACTAAAACGTGCACATTTGAACTAAACATTTTCATTCCAATAAAGGTTTGTATATTTTTTTTCGAAATCATTCATCTCATCTGCTTAAATATGTATCATTTTAAAGTTGAACTAAAAACAGCTTAGCGACTAAAACCAGGATGAAAATATGCTTCTCGCTTGAAAAGGTGAACACTATCCGTTCTGTACACATGTGTAGTTAGTTTACCTAGTTCAGTTTGTATATTTGGAAAATTACAAATTCTATTATAAACAACTCTTGGATAGAAAGAAAAGAGGAAACGTAGTACTTAAATGCAGCTGATGAAGCAGCGAAAACAAAAAAAAAGGTAACATGAAACAATAGCGAAGGAAAGATGACTCTACTCACACTCGCATCCGAGTTAAATATCATCATAGTCCTCGTCCATGCCGGGAATCGCCGAGGAAACACTGGAATAGAGCGGAGCTGCTGGTCCGCTAGAACTAGAAGCTGCAGCCGCCGACGCCGAAGCCGACGCCAACGCCGCCACGACAGTCGACGAAGCCGGAGCTTGCAATGACTGCTGTTGAAAAACGTACGGATTTTTACTGCTGCTACTGCCGCTTCCGCCGCAACTGGAGGAGGACGATGCACTGCTGAAGGCCGACAGCGGCGTCGACGGAGTGCTGGCAGTAGTTGGCGTTGAAGGCACTTGCTGCTGCTGCTGCTTAACGCTGATGGTGCTTCCGGCTATCAGCGCCACCGGAGATGACTGGGACTTGACTATGGGACTCCTGTAGTTGCTGATATTGCTCAGGTCAATCTTGATCGTTGGCTGTTGCTGGCGCGGAGTCGAATGGGACTGTTTTGATTGCTCGGTGGCGCCGGCACCGATCGTCATCGGAAGTTTCAGGTTGGAATAGTCAAGCTTGATGACGGGCTGGTCGCTCGCGGTCGGTGTCGTTGGGATACTCGTCGCAGCTATTTTGTAGGTGATCTAGGGAATTGAAATGTTGGCGATTAATGAGAAGTGCGGTTTCATGATACGGTGTCTTACCTTAAAGTTATTACTATTTGAAGCGACGCCTCCGCCGCTGTTGGTCTTCAGCTGCGGTTGGCTGTTGTTTGAACTAGTTGAAGTTGATGAAGAGGACGGTGCCGGCTTTGGCAGATTTGGTAGGATATCGATCTTGATAGGGATCGAATTCGTTGTGGTGGCGGTGGCTGCCGGTGCCGAATGCAATCGAGTGAGCTTCGGAGGAGGTTCCCGGTGACTACTGGTACTGCTCGAGTCCTCCAGCGAGATTTCCTTGTAGAAATTCAGGCTGTTGGCATGGTTGAATGTTCGCTTCAAACTGTTAGGCTGTGGTTGACTCTGCTGCTGCTGTTGCTGTTGAAGCTGGGACTGGGACTGCGATGGATGATGAAGTTGTGAGGCGATGGGTAGAGCACTGGCATAGCTGGAACTACTGGCCGGTGTGTATGATTCTGACCTCTGTAGTAACACTGCTCCGGAGGAACTGGCATCGCCGCTGACGATGGCACAGGCTACTGCGCCCCCGTTCGAAGATGACGATGTGGATGTGGAAGCGGGCGATGCACCAGCTTCGTTTCCGTATCCGGCTTCAGAACCGGAAAGCTGCTCCTCGTTGACGCCAATGTCCGGGATGTTTTTGACCAGATCCCGTAGGAAATCGAACCGGCTCTCGGAGATGATGCACTGCTTCATGTGCGATGGCGAAAGGGTTTTCGCATTGCGGGCATTCGTGATGCGGAGCGTCTTGGTAAGAAGTGACTCGACGAACAGTTCAAGGGTTCGAGGTATTGCAGCGAGTTAAGGAGCAAATATGTGTTGTGACATTCTAACTTAAAGTCCCCTAAATTTACTTTACAAAACATTTGAAATTAAAAAAAAATCCATTCTAATTTCGCTAAGATATGGCAATTTGAATTTGGGGTCAATTTGACCCCAGGGTACAGACGAAGTTTTTTTTGACAGGAACTTCAGGAACATTCACGAACATTAACAAAATGCGAAAGCATTTTGAAAAAGTTTACTAAAGGGTGTCCCACATCAAATTGCATCACGGAAAAAACGCTGTAGAAAATTACCCATTGGGTATTTTGTCTTGAAAATGTTGGTAGATGTAGTTTAGAGTGAATTGTTTACACTGTATTTTTATCGCTGTCAGTTTTTTGAAAGTTTGAAAAAATGGCGTCAACCGAAAAGCAACGCCGCGAATTGATTTTGCACAAGCACCTGGAAAATCCTCAACTCTCTCATCGGGAACATCGGAAAACAACTCGGAATCGTGAGGTGAGTCGTGTGATTAAACGTTACAACAAAACTCTGAGCATCGAACGGAAGCAGAAATGCGGTCAGAATCGATGTTCTATTAGTGATCAGGATCACAAGCGTGTCGTGAAAGCGTTTAAGCGGAATCCCAATGCGTCGGTCAGGGATGTGGCCAAAAAGTTGAATCTGTCCAAGTCTTTCGTTCAGAGAGCCAAGGACCAAGAGGGACTGCATACGAAGGCTCCAAATCGTGACGAACGGCAAAATACGGAGGGAAAGTCACGGGCCCGGAAAACGTTCACCCAGATTCTGATGAAGCCTTATTGTCTCATCATGGATGATGAGACTTACGTCAAGGTGGACTTCCGGCAGCTTCCGGGCTATTGTTCTTCACCGCCCAGCACAAGTTTGATGTTCCAGAGGAAGTAAGGAAGCAGAAACTTTCAAAGTTTGCCAAGAAATACATGATTTGGCAAGTGATCTGCTCATGTGGCAAACGGAGTGCGCCGTTCGTGACTACCGGGACTGTAAACGGGGAGATCTACCTCAAGGAGTGTCTACAGAAGCGTCTGGTTTCTCTGTTGAAGCAACACGAGGGCCCTACGATCTTCTGGTCGGATCTAGCTTCGTGCCACTATTCAAATGTGGTCTTGGAGTGATACGAAGCCAACGGAGTCACTTTCGTACCCATGCGTCTCACCTTATTTGACAGATCTGATCGCCCGTTTGAAAGTTCGAATCGCTCGTTTGAATTGTGGACAAACGAAATGCTCCAGTGTCATGTCGGTTCGTCGGTGGTTCAAGTGCCTCGTATTCGTGTATGGCTTGAAGTCGGAATAGGATGCAGATGTGCGGATGCGGCTGTTGTCGAAGATTGAAGAGCGGAACGATGTCACGCTGGAACAACTGTCGGAAGAGTGTCAACGTTTGTTAAACTTGCGGCACGATAGGAGAACTCAATGTCTGTGAAAACCTAGAACACGAAACAGCACCGTTTCAAGGGAACTTCGCCGTCGAAATTCAACCAGTCCGGCAGTGAGAAGGGTAGTTGGAGAGCGAGCAACGGGAAGCCTAGTCCAGAAACAACTTGTTGGCTATGCGGTGGCATGCATTACGCCAGGGAGTGCACGTACAAAGGCCATAAGTACAATGATGCAGCCAGGTAGGCCATGAAAATGGCTACTGTCGAAGTGCAGCGAAGGTAAAATTCAGGCGATGGATGCCCAACGTTCCAGCAGCCAATGTAGTGACTGTCAATTTTTGCAGTGTGCAGGAGCGTCGAAAGTACGTGCCGGTTGTGATCAATGGATAACCGACGCGTCTGCAAATCGATACGGGCTCTGATTTCAGATTATTTCGTCGAAAACCAGGTGCAAGTTTGAAGCCCTTCAACGTCTGCGTTGACGGTCATAGCAAAGACAGCCAGTGGTAGCCCGTTGCAGATTGAAGGTGAGTTTTCTGGTTATCTTTCCATTGATGTATGAGTGTTGTGTGGCTTGATTCGGATCACCAAGGAACAGTTACACCTGCTGCGCTAGTGTTAGATTGTTCGAGCACCTAGAATTGAGATTTAGATGTGTCGCCCCCTTCGCAACCAACAACGGAAAAGAGCACATCAGCTATTGCGAACAAAATTTCGAAAACCGTTTTCTCGTGACCAAAGGCTCACCTACACAAACTAACGCCATCTTTAGGTTGTGGAAAGTTTCCCCAACTCAACGATACCGTGACTCAGGCACACATCGACCATCCAGTGGCAAGCATTGAAGAACTCATGGAGATCATTTCTGAGGCCGCAAAAATCTCCATTCCAAAGACCAGTTCAAACCCCGGCCGGAAACCCTTACACTGGTGGTGTCCAGAAGCAAAGTCTGCCATTAAAGCGAGAAGAAAAGCTCTTCGTGCAGCCAAACGCCTACCCATGAATCACCCAGACAGGGAACGAGCTATCGAGCTTTACCGCTCCAAGCGAAATGAATGCCGGCATATCATCAGGGATGCTAAGAAAAGTAGCTGGGAAGAATTTTTGGAGGGGATCAACCCCAACCAAGCGGTGTCGAAGAACTTAATCTAGCATTATCCCGTAGCAAAAGTCAATCGGCTGGTCCAGACGACATCGGATATCCCATGCTGCAACACCTCCCACCCAACATCAAAATCGAACTGCTAAATCTAATAAACAAAATTTGGTCGGACAACACCCTGCCTAAAGAATGGATTCACAGCCTAGTAGTCCCCATCCCAAAGCAGGGACAAGCTGCTTCAACACCGGAAAATTTCCGTCCGATTTCACTGACGTGCTGTACCAGCAAAGTCATGGAACGGATGGTCAATCGCCGGCTAATACGGTTTCTTGAGGACAACAACCATCTCGACCACCGACAGCAAGCGTTCAGACCCGGCCACGGCACCGGAACGTACTCTACCGGCCTGGGAGACGTACTTCAGGAAGCGATGGACGAGGAACTCCACATCGACATAGCGGCCTTGGATCTAGCCAAGGCATATAACCGCGCATGGTCCCCTCAGGTCATAAACCAATTGGTTGACTGGGGTCTAAGGGGCCATATCCTTCACTTCGTTAAAAACTTCCTTTGTTGTAGAACTTTTCAGGTTCTGATTGGAAACCACCGCTCCTCACCCCGAGCGGAAGAGACTGGAGTCCCACAGGGCTCCGTCATTGCGGTCACCATCTTCTTGGTTGCAATGAATGGTGTCTTTAGTGACCTTCCAAAGGGAATACTCATCTTTGTGTATGCAGACGACATCGTTCTGCTGGCTATCGGACGCTCCCGCCATCGGCCGCTACCAACGAACATCTTAGCGAACAACATTCCGATACCCAACAAAAAGACCATCCAGGTTCTTGGAGTGCGCCTGGACCGAGAGCTGAGGTTCAACGCACACTTTACTGACACTAAAGCCAATTGCCGTACGCGACTAAACCTCCTGCGAACACTCTCAAAACCACACCACAGCAGCAACAGAGAGATCCTACTAAAGGTAGCCAAGGCCACCGTAAACAGTAGACTATTTTATGGGATTGAACTAACCTGCCTCTCCAAAGACTCTCTAACCACGCGTCTAGCCCCAACCTACAACAAGGCCATCCGGATCGTCGCAGGTCTTCTGCCCTCTACACCCGCTGAATCGGCATGCGTTGAACTTGGTGTACTGCCGTTCCAATATCAAATCGCCGAAACGCTGAGCTGCAGAACATCCAGTTACCTAGAAAAGACCACTGGGAACCACGAGGTCTTTCTCCTCAGAGAGGGGAATAGAGCCCTAGGAAGCCTGGTCCATCAGGAGCTCCCACCCGTGTCCAGGTTACACTGGATCGGAGCCAGAGGATGGACAGAGCCAACCCTACATGTTGATCTTACGATTGCCAAGCACTTTAAGGCAGGGAACAACTCTCACGCTATGCACAGCCACCTAGCGGAGTTACTCAGAACTAAGTATGCCAAGTTTCAACACCGCTTCACGGACGGCTCCAAGGCTGCGGGCAAAGTAGGATACGGAGTAGCAGATACGTTCAACAGTTTATTCTTTCGACTTCCCGATCAATGCTCCGTCTTCTCGGCGGAGGCCGCGGCCATCTATTTAGCCATCACTACGCCCTCCGGTAAACCCATTTGCGTTCTAACAGATTCTGCCAGCGTTTTATGTGCCTTGAATTCAGCAACATCAAAACATCCCTGGATCCAAGGCATACAAAAGACCGCACTACCGAACACTTCATTTGTCTGGGTACCTGGACATTGTGGTACACGCGGTAACTGCGAAGCAGACCATCTCGCCACCACTGGGCGCACCGGCCGGATGACTACCACATCTGTTCCCAGTTCAGACATAAAAACATGGGTGAAGACAACCCTTCGAGACGCCTGGTACCAAGAGTGGGTTACAAAAAGGGGGCCTTTCTTAAGGAAAATAAAGGACGACATCTTCAAATGGAAGGACATTATGAGTCGACGGGAACAACAGGTCCTATCTCGACTCCGATCTGGACACACCCGAGTAACCCATAATATGGGCAGCGCTACATCTTTTCAGAAGTGTTGCGACACCTGCAACATTATAATGACTGTCGAACACCTGATCGGTTACTGCCCCTGCTTCCAGAACATCCGGGCCCACAACGGAATCCCGGACAACATACGCAATGCCCTGTCTAACGACCCATCTACGGAAGCTGCTCTAATAACCTTTCCTAAAGATGCTGGATTGTTCGATAAAATTTAATCACCGACCCCCTATACAAAATAACAACGCACCGAACACGAACCCGATTGACTCTAGACTGGATACCACACAACGATTATCTGATTACCCTTTACAACGACCACTGCCATCCCTTTTATGAACCGCCAATCACGCTGAACAACCACGAAACACAAACTCTGTAAAAACCACTATGTACCAAGGGAACACCCTAAGCACATCTATACCCAGGAGAACCCCCTCAGGGTTCCCGAAAAAATCTAAACTACGTTACTAGGGGAGTCCCCTTCAGGGGCTTCCG